GAAACGACCCATGTGTTCTAAGGAAGTCTGATACTTTCTATTTGAGAGAAACATCGAGCTTCATTTAATACGTATTTATATATCCAGAGTCAAAACTAGTATTTGACCCTTGAGTCAATGTTCGTTAGTTTCAATTTTTACCATTAGCAACGACTTGACAAAACTTTTGACCTTTCCGCTATCGACATTACTGGAGTGTAAGAGACGATATGAAAATTATTTGGAACCGTCAAAGAAGCTTATTTGTACCGTTAAACTCAACTGCAGAGATATAAAAGACCTGAGACATTAAAATCCTTTTCAACTGTTTTTTCAAAGTCACAAACAAAGACATCGAACCCATTTCATCTCAATTCCCACATAGTTTAAAACAAAGACCCAGAAACATGACCAATACTTACAACGAAAAGATCTAGAATACCCCAAACCCCGAAAACCAGACGCTGAAGCACAAGCACGCTCAAGAACACAAACCAAGGGAATATGAACGCTTTTTTCCCCCCTTCTATGTCTCCTTACGGAGGTCTCCTTCTGCAACATGGAAACTGACTCAAGATCAGCTATCACAAATAAGACATCATTGGCTAAAGACTGCAATTTGAAGGGGTAAGGAATGAGTTTATAGTTCGTTTCTGTTAACAAACGTAAAGAGAGATGACATTTCCAAAACCTACGGAAATCAACTATCCAAGTATACAACTAGCAGAATTATCATGCTACAACACTCCTTATAAATGCTTGAATGAAAGACTGAACTCTGGTAACGATCACCCTTGACATATCACAAAGCAAAAAAGTAATGATTCTATAAGATGCAAGCATAGATATTTCAGGGGAAGTAAAACAACAATCAGATGAATCTTCAAAAACATCTCACCCTAATGTCCTAAGATTGGGTCTATGGCAGCCTAAAGACAAAACTTTGGAAGGTAAAAGCGTAGTATTAGATGTTCATCACTGAAAAAGATACCTTCAAACAAATTTCCTTATACAGAAACTTAAGACTAAAATATAGGATAAAGTTCAAATCTTAAACTGAATACATTGTTACTGTTGCCTATAATATGTCACATTTTTCAGTCACGACACAGTTTCTATACCCTAAGCCAAACGAAACGTATTCCCAAGTAAATTGAAAAATCAGACCTGTATTACTGTTTATCCGAAGCATCATGGTACTCATCCTTGTCTCCTTCCTCAGCAACTTCAGTCACGGTATGAAGCTTATCACCACTATGTCCCAGATTCTCGGCACCATTTTTTCCGTCTTTCTCATCTTCTCGGTCTTTCTCATCAGGAAATCTAACAACCACCACCGGACAAGCACAATGGTGAACAGAGTAATCACTGACACTCCCTAACCTCCCTTTACTACTCCTCTTGGTAGCACCAAATCCTCTACTACCCATAATCAAAGTGCTTAACCCTAACCTCTCAACCTCCAAACAAAGTCTCTCCTTCATATCGTGATCCTTCACAATATGGATCTTAAACGGAATCTCGGCTTCCACCAAAGGCTGAGCAACGTCACTCGCTTTCTTGTTCGTGAAAATGTCGAAATCGTCTTCTAGCTTCCTCTGAGACTCCTCGTTCTCCGGATCCCACTGCGGAGACAAGTCAATGGCGCCCCAATCAGCACCGTAAAGGACACTCGTCGGTTGAACGTGGAGGAGAACGACGGAGTCACCTGATCGGAGATAGTTCTGAACAGCCCATTGAACTGCGTACGCACTCTCGTCGCTCAGATCAACAGCGATCCCGATCTTACGCTGTGCTCCAGATGTCGGTGTTCCGATCGGGAATCTAGGAGAAGAGGGTTGCACGGTGACAACAGTCGGTGATTTCCGATCAGATCTCGGCGATTTTCCCGGTGAAGTCATTTTTTTCTCGGCGATGAAGATGATTCGTAGAATGTCAAAGAAATGAGCTTGACGGTGGAGAAAGGATACGAACAAAGTAGAGAATAGACTCTGTACGGTACGGTGTAGGTTTCTATGTTTTTTTGTACTTTTCTTGTGAAAATTGGTAATTGTTGAGAACCGTTGGATTTATGGGTTTTAAGATCTAACGGCTGTAGAGGCGGGTGTAAATCTCAGTTAAATAGTAACGGAAACACCTGATAATTTAGTCAAAATTTCCCAATTTCTTCAATTTAGAATCGGATTCTGCTACTCTCTAGGGTTTTTTCAATTTCAATCGATCGAATTGAGCTGAATCCCTAATCTCAGAGATGCCACAGAGACACTCGAAGAATAATAATGATCTAGCTTACTTTACTTACGACGAGAAGAAGAAGCTAGGGTATGGAACGCAGAAGCTTGATCAAGCCCTTTAATGCTTGTTCACTCTGTTTAAAGCCATTCATCGACCCATTGTGTTGCCAAAAAGGACATGTTTTCTGCTAGGAGTGTATCCTCGAATGTCTTTTGGCTCAGAAGAAAGATATTCAGAGGTAATATCAGTGATTTGTGATTTTCAATGATAGTTCCTTATGGTTTCGTGTTTTGAAGTAGGAAGAATCTGTGTCTTATTACTTCTGGTAGCTTGAAACAAGAGTGTGTGCTTGTGTATTATTTGAAAGCTTGATGCTTTGGATTGTTTTGAGTAGTTGGAATGAGTTTCACAGTTAGTCACTGGTCCTGGAACCCTGTGTTGAACTGATTATCCTCGCTTGTATGATGTTAGGATTGTCTGGACTTTATGTGCCATGTTGAGAGGATTGGTTATGTAGAATGTAATACAGATTTTATGTGTCAACATGTGACCTTTCTATAACAGGAGGCTTGATGCGCATGCGGCTCTA